GGGGGGGGGGGGGGGGGGGGGGGGGGGGGGGGGGGGGGGGGGGGGGGGGCTCTAAACCAACGGCACGCAGGAAAAAACGGCCGGCCACGACCGGTGGTCGGTCTCTCGCTACAGCATACAGAATATTGGGACCACCACCACTGTACCGTACGTACGTACCGCCGTACAGTGGTGGTGGTCCCAATATGCCGTGCCGTACCGTATCGGGGTGTAGTGACAGGCAAAAAATCACCGCGGCATATCGGGACACCGCACTATAAAGTGTTGAGGAACATATGCCGTATGTTGCACAAGATATCACACCCCCTGGGCCGATTTTCGAGGATCGATATATCAGCAGGAACAGCAGAGACGGTGCCGAAGATGGCGTTAGGCGTTGGAACCGTCTCGTCGAGAGATAGCTTTCCGAACAACGAACACTTTCAATTTCGGCGTCCTCTTCGTTGTGGAGTGATTGGGAATCGGTCCAGGGTGGGTCATATCTTATGCAACCTACGGAAGTACCGTTTAGTGTTGTGGCCAAATCCCGTGACAAGCGGTGTTTACCGTGGAATACCGGGGACTCGCACAACTCAGGACCGCGGAATATCGGGACCACCAACCTCCATGCTGTCGCATCTCGGCAGCCAGACCTGCCTCTGCTGCTCGGTGCAGAGGGCCTCGACGTTTGGCCTGAACATGAGCGCGTGGATATACGTCGGCATGGCGTCGTTCAGGCTGTCCGATACCAGTCCCGCATCCTCTGAGCTGCTCGCGACGACACGGACAGCGATCACCGTAGGAACGAGGGGGGGGGGGGGGGNGGGGGGGGGGGGGGGGGGGGGGGGGGGGGGGGGGGGGGGGCGTACTCTTATGTTTTGCATGCATTAGCGGTTTAACACATTGACCACGCGTCCTCGAACGGACGGATCGTTGTTCACACAGGACCGACAACGATTCTCCCCGCGAACCGGAGGACGGGGGCATACTCATGTTTTGCATGCCTTGGCGGTTTAACAAATTGACCACGCGTCCTCGAACGGACGGAGCGTTGTTCACGCAGGACCGACAACGATTCTCCCCGCGAACCGGAGGACGGGGGCATACTCATGTTTTGCATGCCTTGGCGGTTTAACAAATTGACCACGCGTCCTCGAACGGACGGAGCGTTGTTCACGCAGGNGTTTGCATGCCTTACCGGCAAGACCATTGAACAAAAAAAGAAGTTCCCTCGCCGGGAATTGAACCCGGACCCCATCGGTTAGAGCGATGTATCCTATCCATTGGACTACGAAGGAGGACGGAAGATACGTGATGTTGCTTGAAGCGTTGCTCAGTGACGGCCCATGCCTTTTTATGGGGTGGACCTGCACTACCTCGGAGTACTAATTTGCCAGAGGGGGGGTCAGCATTTTGTTGTTGGCCATGCTTGTGATTTGACAAAAAGTAATGACTCATGCCTCATATAGGTAGGAGCGAAACTAGACGGTACTTTTGTCAGAGGGAGGGGTCGTCATCTTGTTGGCCTTTGGTACCTTGACCAGAGGCGATTTATGCCTTTCTTGAGGATGGAGCGACACCACGTGGAAAAAAAAAAAGGCTCCGTGTCACAGTCATCACCGCACGCAGGAGTCATGCAATTGAACAGCCGGTTGTTGTTTAGTGCTACTCGCAATGACGCCGGCGACGCCAACAATGCGGACGTGTCTCGCACGAAGGGATGCGCAAAAAAACACGATTTGAAGGGAGCTTTTAAGGCACGTGGTGTTTATTGGAGTTCGAAGAAGTAGACACCTACGTTATGCCTGAAAACGAAAGAACGACGTGATCATTTGAAAACTCGACTTTCGCACCTGTATCGGTGTTGTCGCTTTGGGTACAAGATCGCGTGACACACCGCATGTGGCTCCTCTTTTTAGCTGTAACGGGCGTAGGGCGATAGTCTCGGCACACGCCGGTCCTACCCAAGCACAGCTTTCGACGCACTCGACGTAGGGCTCGAAGGGGGCGGGGGAGGGGCGCACCTGAGTTTCAGCTCTTCCTTGAGGGCGGTAAAACGGCGGGCCTTCCTCAGGCCATGTCGGTACCTCTCGGGCCTGGACATGAACATGTTGTCGGCATTTGAGAAGACGGGGTCCTGCTCCACGATTGCCTGCGTGCACGCATGTCGCGCAGGGGCAAGCAAAGGAGTCTCGTGCATCGATCACTGGGGATTGGGGGGGGGGTGGATGACAAGAGAGGCTCCGCGGAGTGCACACGTTCGTTCGTGTCGTCGCGGGGGGCAAGCCAAAGGGGTCACGTGCATCCATCAGTAGGGGGGG